CTCTATAACCTACAAAAATAACGTTTATTTTCTTTGTATTCTGTTACATTACGAAGGGAGAAGACACTACATTCATAATTGAGTTTATAAAATATTACNTACAAAAATGACGTTTATTTTCATTTCTCTATAACCTACAAAAATGACGTTTATTTTCATTTCTCTATAACCTACAAAAATGACGTTTATTTTCATTTCTCTATAACCTACAAAAATGACGTTTATTTTCATTTCTCTATAACCTACAAAAATGACGTTTATTTTCATTTCTCTATAATCTACAAAAATGACGTTTATTTTCATTTCTCTATAACCTACAAAAATGACGTTTATTATTTCTGTATTCTGTTACATTACGAAGGGAGAAGACACTTTCAGAGAAATCTAAAAAGACTTTAAGAAGGAAATATTTTTTTCCTGCTTTCACTGAATCATTAATGACCTAAACTACATTATTCAGCTCTTTTAAAAAGCTTTGTTGTTATTACAGAGATGCCAACTTGCTCCGGACAGCAAATATATATTTTAAAGTGGTAGATTATCAATTGTTATTCTTGGTTTCATAAATTCGATTTAGTAGATTTTTGTCTACCACTATTTCTAAATAATTCGTAGGATTGTATAATTCACTACTTTGCAGTTTTTATGTCGTGCTTACCTTTTTAAAAAGCAAGCAAAAATAGTGAAATATTTGTAAAATTTACTTTGAAGTTATTTACCGTTTTTGGCGTGTCCGAGGCAGTTGGCATCTCTGTTATTAATGACGCTAAGTGTCCAGGCAGACCTAAAAGTAGAAGAACATAGAAGTAAATAACTATAAAATCATAAAATGTCACTTTCCACGCACTGAAATACCAAGAAATAAGGTTCAATAACAATGTAAACTGCATAATGTTTGTAAACTACGCTACTCTCTAATTAGAGTTACTTAATGAATATTTAAAATAGAAAAAAAACTAATCAGAAAATTATACTTTTTTTCTCGAAATCGTCGTAGAATCCCCAATAAATAATACGTCATTATGTGGGGTCATAGTAACAGGTAGCAGAAAATATTCTCAAAATGCTGACAAGAACAGATCTTCTAAAAATCAAAAATTTTCATTTTTATTAATTCATTTTAGTTTCATGGGGGAGAAAAAATGGTAATTATTTAATAAAAAGTAACCAAAAATTATATTATACTTGTTTTTGTAACTAACTCAACAATTACAGTTGCTAAGGAGTACGAATAATATGAGATCTAATACGAGACGACTGAATTGAGTGATCATATTATGATGCCTTGAAGTTCTGAAGTAACCACCCAGTGGCGTACGCAAGGGAGGGGTTTAGGTGTTTGAACACCCCCCTTGAGCTCAGACAAAATGGCAAAAATAAACATTTTAGTAGAAATTATGCGGGTATTATTTTTTAAGACTATATATATTTATTTGCCTTATGCCTACATTTTTATCTCACGGCATTTCTCAGAATACTGAAAAAAACATTTACTATAATAGGGTTGTACTTTTGAAACCAAATTCACGTGATACTGTTATGGACTGGTTCCTTTCTGTTCTGCCAGTCGCGATAGTTTTCGAGACTGGCTGTCATTCGCGAGGTCTTTACGCGATGATTCTGGAATCTTAGACGTTCTGTCGTCTTTGAGACAATTCGAGAATTTTGGAGATGCGGGGGAAAATTATACAAAAGGGGGAACGGAGTACAATGTAAGTTTTTCTGTTGTACAGAAATGTAATACTTCCGTTGAGGAAAACGTTTCTAGCATAACGAAATCTGATGAATGTGAAGGTGGCCCTCAAAATGTTACTTCCCACCCATATGACATTGGACTTTTTTCAGAAGATATTACATGCGAGAAGATATTANAGCTAACCAAATTGGAAACTAACATAAAATCTCTGTGCAGCAAGCATCAAGCGCAAGGATCTCTCTAAATTAAAATATTAAATTATTATAGAAAAATCTTTATGAAAATTAGTTCGAATTTGAATTTTGGTTTTTCATTATAAGTTTCATTATAAGTCGAAATTTTACTTACTATGTTTCGTCAACAATTTCCTAGAGATTTCTCACTGAAACCTATCATTTAAATTTCTTATGTGAACAATTCAATTTTTTAATATTAAAAATTATGTGTATGTCACATGGGGGGGGGGAGGCATAAGAATTTAAAAAGGCTTGAGTGGGGCATGGCACAAAAAAGGTTGGGAAACACTGCTCTATATCCTACAAAAATGACGTTTATTTTCATTTCTCTATAACAGTGGTTTCCAACTGTTTGCTCGGGGGCCGCATCCGGCCAGCGAAGCCTTTTTTCGTGGCCCGCGAACTAAAATATATTAGTCGTCATTTTTTTGCGGACAATTTTCGTAAAAAATCTATATGGGTTTAAAATACTTATCTCATTAATAAAAACCTAATTTCTTCCTTTCTGTAAAATTTATCATACCAACAGTGCAAAAAGTATTATTTCTCATGTTTTGCATCCAAGAAAATATTTATTGAAATACAAAAATAATCTTGTATGCTGCTCTTTTTTATTTCATTTTTTTTTTGTATTTTGTGAATATAATTTAGCATGCGTGTATCAGAAATTTTCTCGAAGAAATTCACCGATTTAACCTTCTGAAACTATTTATTTTGGATGAAAATATTTACACACACATTTGTAAATTTTAAATTTAAAATGTAAATATCTATTCTCTGGTGGTTGCAGCAGACAAACCTCACTTTTGTCATTGAACATTTTGTGCGCTACTATGCAAGTATTAATACCAACCTTTTTAAAGTTTTCTATCTTAACAATTAGATATCTGTTGCACATTAATTGTTTAATACATGGGTGCACATTAAAGTTATTGTAGCCCGATTTTTTTAAATAAGCAATTAAATATTTTTAAAAACCAAGTTCTTATTATAATTTGTAATTCAATACTTTTGTTTTGTACAACTTGGTAAAAATCTGACAGTAATATTTAATGTTCCTTCAAACATAAAAGAGTCCTACATAAAATTTTGATAAAGTTGCGGCCCCCCCATTTGATTTGTGTTTTTTATTGTGGGCCCCGGCCTCATGTAAATTGGAAACCCCTGTTCTATAACCTACAAAAATAACGTTTATTATTTTTGTATTCTGTTACATTACGAAGGGAGAAGACACTTTCAGAGAAAAAGATTTTAAGAAGGAAATATTTTTTCCTGCTTTCACTGAATCATTAATGACCTAAACTACATTATTCAGCTCTTTTAAAAAGCTTTGTTGTTATTAATGACGCTAAGTGTCCAGGCAGACCTAAAAGTGGAAGAACATAGAAGTAAATAACTATAAAATTATAAAATGTCACTTTCCAAGCACTGAAATACCAAGAAATAGGGTTTAATAACAATGTAAACTGCATAATGTTTGTAAACTACGCTACTCTCTAACTAGAGTAACTTAATGAATATTTAAAATAGAAAAAAAACTATTCAGAAAATTATACTTTTTTTCTCGAAATCGTCGTAGAATCCCCAATAATACGTCATTATGTGGGGTCACAGTAACAGGTAGCAGAAAATATTCTCAAAATGCTGACAAGAACAGATCTTCTAAAAATCAAGAATTTTCATTTTTATTAATTAATTCATTAAATTTAATTAATTCATTTTAGTTTCATGGGGGAGAAAAATTTGTAATTATTTAATAAAAAGTAACCAAAAATTATATTACTTGTTTTTGTAACCAACTAAACAATTACAATTGTTAAGGAGTACGTATAATATGAGATCTAATACGAGACGACTGAATTGAGTGATCATATTATGATACCTTGAAGTTCTGAAATAAACCACCTCTCCTCCTCTTGTAAAAATGTCTTCCAATCAAATTTGTAGACAGCTGAATAAAGGAGACAGATAAATTGTATTAATTTTTCTGAAGAAACACCTGTTTTGTGCAGTTAATGGACTATTCAGTTGAAACAGTAAATTGTTTCTTTAATAACTAAATATCACCAATTACTCCAACGCAAGTAGTTTTAGTATTTATTTTTTCCTCCGAAGGACCATATATATTTTTTTTTTCATCTGAAATTCGCAGAGCGCATCCCCTCTTTTAAGTGTTCAGTTAACCTTGACTACAGCGGTCAAAAGAAGCCAACGTTCCCACCTATGAAAAGCCATTGTATTGAATATGGCGACAATTCTCGGTAGCCCATCCGTAATTTTTCCGATAAGGATCTGCCTTCACACGATGTCTGAATATCAATATAAATTCAAAACAGAAATTTCCCCTCCGCGCCAACAATGCCATTGAATCTGTCAGTTCCATCGCCAAATCATTGCGTTTCGAAAACGCTTGTGTTTCGATATCGAAAGAAATAATAGAATAATTATTTCAAATACTAATGCTGATTTCAGAGATTGCAAAGTTCTTGAAAAGATTGATATAGAATTTCTGAACAATAATTATTTCTAGAACACATTGACCCCCCCCCCCAAAAAAATATATAGGGGTAGCCGCAATCTGAGAAATTGGGTCCCCATAATAGCTTGGTCAGGAGAACGATTCAAAGTTTGGACCCTTTAATGTTGATTTTATTTTTTGCATATTTCGCCATATCTCGAGACCTTGCGTAGCGAATTAGAACATTTTTGCACACAGTTATAAAATTCGTTTATCCAAAGATAATTCCATGCAAAATGTAAATTTTAGTATTATATATTATTTATTAAATATTATTTATCATATATTATTTATTATTATTATTCATTATATATTATTTATTATTATTTATTATATACTATTTATTACATATTATTATATTATATTTAGAATTTTTTTAAATATTAATGGAAAAAATTTTGAACAGTAAGGTATATAATTTTTTACATTATTTTAAAGTATGGAATTTTACACGGTAAAATACAAAATTTGAGCGAAATCGGTTGAAAAGTCCCTGAGAAATCGAATTTTACATATCTGACTTTTTTTGAAAATTCAATTTCTCAGGAACTATTCGACCGATTTTGCCCGAATTTCATATTTGATATGTAAGATTATATTCTTTAAAATGATGAAAAAAATTATATAACTTACTATTCAAATTTTTTTCGACCATTCTTAGATTAAATAATAAAAAAATAATAATTATTTACTAAAAGTTATTTTTTTTACATGGAATTATCTTTGGATAAACGAATTTATAATTGTTTAATCCTAATTGTAGTAGCAATCCTAATTATTGCAATATGCTGATTTTTGCTGGCAGTTCAGTCTTAATTGTAGCAACATGTTGATTTTTGCTGGCAGTTCAGTCTTAATTGTAGCAACATGCTGATTTCTGCTGGCTCTTCAGTCTTAATTGTAGCAACATGTTGATTTTTGCTGGCAGTTCACTCTTAATTGTAGCAACATGTTGATTTTTGCTGGCAGTTCAGTCTTAATTGTTGCAATATGCTGATTTTTACTGGCAGTTCAGTCTTAATTGTAGCAACATGTTGATTTTTGCTGGCAGTTCAATCTTAATTGTAGCAATATGCTGATTTTTGCTGGCAGTTCAGTCTTAATTGTTGCAATATGCTGATTTTTGCTGGCAGTTCAGTCTTAATTGTAGCAACATGTTGATTTTTGCTGGCAGTTCAGTTTTAATTGTAGGAACATGTTGATTTTTGCTAGCAGTTCAGTCTTAATTGTAGCAACGTGTTGATTTTTGCTGGCAGTTCAGTCTTAATTGTAGCAACATGCTGATTTTTGCTGGCAGTTCAGTCTTAATTGTTGCAACATGCTGATTTTTGCTAGCAGTTCAGTCTTAATTGTAGCAACGTGTTGATTTTTGCTGGCAGTTCAGTCTTAATTGTTGCAATATGCTGATTTTTGCTGGCAATTCAGTCTTAATTGTAGCAACATGGTGATTTTTGCTGGCAATTCATTGGAAACCAGAGTAAGAGAATAATTGAAATCATTTTGTGTATTAAATATATCACATGTGGGATACATTTGCCACTACTTTTTTACTTGTTTCTTCTCCTTTAGATCTTTTTCTAAGTAAATGTAATGAAGTAAATTTGAAACCAAATTTTAAAACTGTTTTCATGCAAAATATATTATTCTTTATTTTTGATCATTCCGCTTACCTTAACATAGATTTATTCTAGATTACTCTAGAACAAATTCTAATAGAACGACTACAAGTTAAAGAAGTAAAGCATAATTTCATATAAAACTTTCACAATACTAATCTTATTCAAAAGATTTTTTTTTAAAAAATAACAAACTTTATTTTAATCTGATTTGCATAAACTAAAGAATAAAGAACGAAGTTACAAACTGGTAAAGATTGGCAAATCAGCGTTTATTCATATGGTTTATGAATATTCTTTATAATAGCCTCATTCTTTATAATAGTTAATGAGTTCAATATAGGTAATAATCCTTTTTTTTTTCTTCCACAGGTGCCTTTCTGGTCATGCATTAATGAAACTTTGACAGGTATTTATTTTTAATCCAACATTTTAATGAGTCATTTAACGATATTCATTTCAAACGACGGAATTCATTATTATTATTTAAAAATAAAAATCAGCAAAAAAGTTTTGATCACCTTATTACAATCACTGGATACCCATTGGTCAAATGCTTTTTCCTTCTGGATTGACTCCGATAAACGCCACAACATTTCAAATCATGGGTTGCATAAACTATCTCCATTGATGTTTGTCGCCGGATTGTTTATCATATCCTGCCTGTGTACGCGTTTCAAGACGTCGCAAAAATACTTTTCCTTCTTTGGCATTCATATATTTATTGAAATCAACGTCAAGACAGTCATAATACGAAAATGATTAAAAAGAATATAAAAATACTTTAAATGATTATTATGTAAACACATTAAAAATACCTGCTAGTGAAAAGAAAAAAGAAAACAGCAGTGGTCGCCATAGCAACGCATGCGCACTGTTTAGTGTTGCTCTTGAACACAGTTGAAAAGTGTGTTGATGCCATTAAATCCAAAACAAGACCTTTTTTGCCAATGGGTAATGAGTTCGAACACGCTTTGAAACCGCAAATTTTTACAAAAATCCTCTTGTTCATCATTATCTGTAAATGTAAGTCTCAAAATTTTACGTATTTTTTTTATTATTTTTTTTTTTTTTTATTATTATTATTATTATTATATCGAAACTTACTTCTAGAAACCCCTTTACATCTACGATCTCCGGAAAGTCAATACTTTAGATCAGATCTCGTTCATTTCAACTCATTCAATATCCCATCCTATATGCTTTTTTTTAAAAAAAAATATTATTAAATAGTCTATATCATTTTTCAACCATGAGTGTTCAACTGTGAGTGACGAAAAAGAAAAAGTTTACACTTTAGTTAAAAAATCTAGAGAAAATATGGAAAATAGTAAAAACTAATGAAATGTTTAAAATAATAAAATACTTTTAAAAAATATTTAAAGAAAAATTATTTTAAAAAAATATTAAAAAGCAAAACAAAATAATGAAAAGATATAATATCTTCATCAGCTCACACGATTATATCCACAAGAAAAGTGCTTCCTAATATTACATCAATATAGCGAAAGCAAAATATATCAATACAATAGTGTGAGGAGCACTCAAAAAAATTGAAACGAAAATAGAAGACATTAAGTAAAAATTATACTCAATACTCATAATAACATATCAAGCCGAAAACAGAAAATGCAGAACAAAACACAAAACGAAATCTATAAAGCGACTTGCGAATTCAAACGAAGTTACACGTACCGGAATCTTACATGAATGATTTAAAATATTTTCGTAGATATTAAGATTGCCAGATTACAAAATATGAAAACAGAAGAGCAAATTGAGTTAGGAATGCAAATAGAGGATTCTTTTATGCCGCGTGCCTACTGCAGTACTGATGCTCGTTTGATTTGTTAGTTACCTTCGATTGGCCAGAAAATGGTTGTGCGTAAGGTAATAATATTAAACTGGAAAATTCAAAGTTTATAATTATTAAAGTTGATATTTAATTATACAATTTTAATGATTTAAAAAAAAAATTATTTAAAAGAAAGAGTGAGAGAAACATAATTTGTACTTTTTTCATAGATTTTTAGCCGTGGATTTGCCGGAATTGGATTTGCGCATGGTAAAAATATAAATTAACAAAGAAGTTTTAAGTAAATTTATTAATAATAACATACAACTAATTTTATGAAGTTTTGATTTAAAAAAAAGAGTTTGTCTATCTGTTTTATGGATAAATAATTATTCTTTTAATTCTATTCATTTGGTTAAAAATGGTATTTAGATAAATGTTTTTGGAAACATTAGTATTTCAAATAATTAATTTATTTATATGAAAATTAATGTAATTTCTTTATCGTATAAAAGAACAAAGCAGATATTTTCCTCTTTTTAATACCCAAATCCAGAAAATTAAAATTAATGTTATTATCATGATAACGAAGAAAGATTAATTCCTCGGGGTAAATATTATTTAACAAAACTGTAAAATCTTGAAAATTAAAATTCATAAATGTGAAAACAAATTTAATATTAAGAGTACATTTTTTTTCAAGCATATTAAGAGTATAATTTTTTTTATTTTTTCAATGAAACAAGCTTACAAACAAAACAAAAAACAAATTAAAAAACGTTAAGAATAGTTTGACTAATCAATTAATTAACAAATTTGCAAGAAAGAAGATACGGTCAGTTTATAGCTTGCAGGTAAAATTAATAAAATTGGTAAAAAATATATAGGAATTTAAAAATTAGTGCTGCCATCTATATTTGAGCGAACGTACAAATTATTTATTCAACATAAGAAATTTAACTAAATAAATAATATAAAGGATTTAAATTATAATAAAGTAAAAATATTATTTGCTTGAACCATTAAAAAAACTGGAAAATATTTAATTTAAAAGAATCAAAATTTTATTTAATACCTAAAATAAAATAAAACATAAATTTTTGTAATTTGTTGGACTTACATACAAACAAAGAAAAATCCATGTTGGTGTTTTCTCTAAGAAAGTAAACTTTTATTTAGAAAAAAAAAGAGAGAGAGAGAAAGAAACATGAATTGCCTGTTTTGTACATTTTATCTAGCTTCGTAATCATGATGATAATATTAATACTATTTTTTTAGATTTGGGTATTATAAAAGAAGAAAATATCTGCTCTGTTGATTTATACGATAAAAGAAATGATTTTAATTTTAATAAAAGTAAACTTATTACTTGGAATTCTAATGTTTCTAAAAACATTTATTTAAATACCATTTTTAATCAAATGAAAAGAATTAAAGGAATATGTAATAATGTTTATTTATCCAAAAAACAATTAGACTAACTCTTTCAAAATTTGATTAAAAAAAACCATTAGATTCCCAAGTTAAGTAATTATAAAAATATTCTATATAAAATCAGTTAATTGTATGTTATTAAAAATAAATTTATTGAAAACTTCTTTGTTAATTTATATTATTTTTACCTTGCGTTAATCCATTTCGCACAATTCCGTGGCTAAAAATATGTGCGAAACTGGGAATTTATATTTCTTTCTCTTTCTTTCTCTCTCTCTCTCTCTCTCTCTTTTTTTTAAATAAAAGTTAATTTTCTAAAGTCATTAAAATTGTATAATTAAATATCAAAATTGTTATTTATTAACTTCTTTAAATTATCCAGTATAATATTACCTTGCTCACACCCATTTTCGGGCCAATCTTTGGTAACTAACAAATCAAACTCTCTTCAGTACTGCAGTAAGAACACGATATAAAACAAAATCCCTTTATTTACACTTTTACCTCAATTTGAAATTCTGTTTTTATATTTTGTAATTTAATTTTAACTCTGAACAGAAACAAGAAATTAAAAAAAATAAAAGAAAAATTTTTATTAGCACTGTTGATCAGGCTAGTAGTAATTTTGCTATTATTTGAAAACTTTTTTTGACAAACAACTTCTTTCTAATGAACTTAACAGCAGTATCACTTATAAAAGAAGCTCAACACCAGCAGTGATATTATTATTAATAAAATTAATGCTATCTGTAAAAGACTTAAAACTAAACCTAATAATATTAACAATTTTCCTTTTCTTTTTGATAAACTGATATTCCATTACCTTTCTGCCCCCCCCCCCAACTAAATTCAGCTTTATTGCTAGTGCCGTAAATAGTAACATGAAAAAAATGGGCATTTACTTTGAAAATATTCTTAAAAAAGTACACAATAAAATTAGTAAGTATGCAAAAAATAATAACTACCTAAGTTGATGGAAACTTAAAAATAGTATACAGTTTTTAAGAAGACTAACATTTTTAATTAATCTCGATTCTCTGTTTTATACTGTTTTAATTTTAATAACTTATAGACTTCCCTCAAAACTAATAAAATTCTTGATAACCAATATATGCAATATATTTCTCCAAGGACATACATGGATTGGTTAAATAACCTGTTCATCTTCCTGCAAATTCCTTCTTCCTCAGGTTTATGAATGATCTTTTCATTATTAATTTTTGACGATTTTGAAATTTTAGTTATCCAAGTAACAAATTTATCCAAGTGAACTAATTCTTAAGAAAACTAATATTTGCAAATTTTCTAGATTTAACTCTTATTATTGTAAATGAAGATGGGAAAATTGCATTTAAACTTTATGATGAAAGAAATGATTTTAACTTTCCAATTAAAAAAAGCATAGATTTTATCCTTAGCCAGTAAGGTTTTTTTTTTTCAATATTATTTCAGGTTTTGCTGGAATATATATATAT